GAGAAATTCTTTAATTCCCTTTCCCCCCCCCCCCCCCCCCCCTGTCTCCCGCGCGTCGTTTATTACTCTCGCGGTGCATCACTCCCGACAGGGCCCTCGCAAGGGAGAAGACGACAGGCACAAGCTTAAGGTCAACCTGGAAGACCTCTACAACGGAAAGACTTGCCGCCTCGCCGTAACTCGCAACAAGGTCTGCACCGTCTGCGAAGGCATCGGCGGCAAGCCGGGGGCGGAGAAGGCCTGCGAAAAGTGCCAGGGTCGCGGCGTCCAGGTGCGAGAGGGAGGGGCAGGGGGGGGGGGGACAGTTGCTGTGGCTTGTTTAGTTGTGGCACGTGGGCCGTTCCAAGGGGGACATTTACAATGACGCCGTATGAGAGCGTTTTGTGATGCGGCATTGGTTGCGTGCTTGTTGCGATGCTGGTCAGTTGGGATCATAGGATTGCGCCTCTGCCTTGAGCGCTATGGACTGCTTTTTTCACCCCCTCTTCTGACGTTTGTTTTATTGGTGTTGACGTCGCTGAACAGGTCCAGTTCCGACAGATCGGTCCCGGAATGGTGCAGCAGCTGCAGAGCGCCTGCTCCAGCTGCCGCGGTGAGGGCAAGGTCATCAACGAGCGCGACAAGTGCAAGACCTGCTCCGCGAAAAAGGTGGGCTTCGTTTCTCTCGCCACCCTGTCGCGTCGTGTGACCTTCTTCACCTCGCACACTGGTTGTGGCACGGCTGGTGACTCGTTAGGGGGCGCCCCAGGACCGTAGTAGTGCCCTCAACTCAGGCTGGTGGCATGGGCTGGCGAAGAAGAGCGGTGCCGTAGAGTTGTCGAGTGCATTTTTCGGGGTCGGGGGGGTTGGGCTTGGAAGACGCTCAGAGCAGACCGACTCCAAATTGTTATTCGTGTGTCGCTTCCAAAGGCGTGTTCGAAGGAGCCCTTCCTCGCCACGTACCCACCTATCTCGTGCTGTGCTGCTTTCGGCTCTACTCCAATTCGAGATTCTCACCCGCGAAAGTTTGCGTGTGTGTGCCTTTGTCCGCGTCTGTCTCCCTGTGGCTGTTTTTTTCTCTCTCTCAGGTGGTGACGGAGCGCAAGGTGTTGGAGGTGCACATCACCAAGGGCATGCGCAACGGGCAGAAGATCACATTCCACGGGGAGGCCGACGAGGCCCCCGGCGTCGTCCCCGGCGACATCATCTTCATCGTCGAGGAGAAGGTACAGGCAGTAGCTGTGATGGTGGACTCTTTGATTTGCCGAGGGAGCCAGACGACACCGTGTAGCGGTGTTGCCGTTGGTGTCACGCCTCGTTGTCGTTGCACCGGCCGTGTTGACTCACACGGCTACCTGAGGGGAGTTTTTCTACCGTTTTGGTCGTTGTGTGCTGCTGTGGTGCTTCATTTGTCCTGTTTTTCGTCGTCCGGTGTATCGCACGCGTGCTTGGCTCCTCTGACGTTTTTTTCGTCCGCTGTCTCTTTTTTTTATGACGTGTTCGCGTTCCGCCATTGCAGGAGCACTCGGTCTTCCGACGCAAGGGCGCGGATTTGGTGATCGAGAAGAACCTCACCCTCGTAGAGTCGCTCTGCGGCTTCGACTTCTCCATCACCCACATGGACAAGCGAACCCTCAGGGTCAGGAGCAACCCGGGGCAGGTGCGTGTTGCCAACACATCAGTGAAGGTCTACACTCTCATTGTGTTTGTAACGGGTGGGAGTATTCTGCAGCTGTTGTTGTTGAGACGCGCCATAGACAAGTTGTTTGCTGTAGGTTTGGTCTGATTTTTGTTGAGCCGCGGTCGCGGTCGTGCACAGCCCAGGACCATGCTTGAGGAAGAATGCTGAGGTCCATCTTGTCGAAGAGCGATTCGTCACACAGGCTGCTGGTCTCTTATCTTTTGCTTTCGATTCCCGCTGACCGCACTTGTAGATGGCGATGCTTGTCTCACATCAGAGATTGTTACTGTCTGTTGCTTGAAACCTTTGGGGATGACGATGCTTGTCTCATACACCAGATACCGTGGATTGCCATCTCGTCTGTATGGATTTGATGTCCTGTGCCTCACGTGCTGCCGCCGCCCCCTCGTGCCGTTGGCTCCCCCACGCTCAGGTGACCAAGCACGACGACGTGTTCATGCTCGACGGAGAGGGCATGCCAACCATCGGCAACCCCTTCGTCAAGGGCCGTCTGTTTGTCATCTTCAAGGTAAAATTTACGCACTTCACGCTACGCACACAGATCGATCGCGAGCTTCCGCCCCGCACCTCTTGTTGTATGAACTTTCCTGTTGCTGCCGGTTTGTCTTGTCTT